TTTATATTGAACATAGAAAACACTATGATTCCGGAAAATTTAGAGACAACCCAAGAAAAACACGCCTTTGACTCCAGAAATTTTAAGTTACACAGCCGATAAGATATCCGATCCGATCAAAATTATCACGAAAAGTTCAAAATCGAAAAATTTTGAATATAGAATACACATTCAAATACTTCAACAGATTAGCTCAAATTATTTGAAATTCAAATTTCATACAGGGCATCAGTCTGCTACATTCCTTGTATTCCAATCTTAAGATCATTGGAATTATTATAAATTCAATAAAATATTCGTTTGTGTATTATGAATGTTACATAAGTTACTGTACAGCCATAATATTCCAGAGATATTCGAATTTCTTCTCAGCTTCCTTTTTAAAAAAAAAAAAAGTATAATATTTTCGGTAAAAATTACTTTTGACATTTTAAAAACTAACGAAAAAATAAGAAAATAATAAACTGTTAGCACTCAACAAATTTAACAATTTCTATTATTTCCACGCGATGCAATAATGCATTCACTGAAAAGAATATTTTGTATCATTTATCACACAATGTAAGTGATTACAACAGTAAAGGTGTACAGTACCTTTATAACTACTATGTACGTAACAATATTACAGTTGATTGTTTGAAATCCTTGATTTTTAAATTTTCCAAAAAAAAAAAAAATAAAAAATACCTGGAAAATTCTGAATCTTGAATGCATCAAAGTAAATATTTTGAACGCATCGTGTTTTACACCATTTTGGTGTTTCTTGTGAAGCTTTTAATAAGGTGTTGTTTTCTATGAAACGGGAAACTCATAAGATGAGTTTTTCTTTTTTTTTTTCTTTGAAATTGTATATTGGAATAAAAATGTTTTTTATTACTTTTATAAAGTTTATTATTATTACAAAAAATGCATTAAAAGGATTAAAATTCGAAGAAAATTTTATGTTGTTCTTAAAAGTGATGAAAACTTCACTCTTAAATTCATATTTCAATTGGAATTACAGGGTGTTTTAACCGTGTTTTAACCGTTTGTAACGACAAGAAATAATGTTCTGAGATGTAGACTCAAGCATATATTTTTTTTCAGAATTGGATTCTGAGTAGATTTGACCATTTCTGCCCGTCTGTCCGCCTATGTCCGCTTGTCCGTGCGTCACAGCGATATCTCAAAAACTAATTGAGCTAAGCTCAACAAATTTTCATAAATGATTTATTATACTAAATGCCAAAACTCCATTTAAATTGAATATAACCGAGCAACTGGTTCGGGTAATTGCCATACAACTACAAAATTTATTTGGCTACATCTGAGAAATTATAGAAGTTATATTATGGTATTGAAATTTCGCATCACAAACGAATATTTATTATTAGGGCTATTTTATACGTAGTCATTGAAATTGCTTAAGTCTTTCTGGTAGCTGACATATGCAACTTGAAAAATTATTTGGCTATATTTTAAAAACTGTTCAACTGTACAGTACTGAAATTTTACAAAAGCAAATATGGTAAAATGACAGCTATATGACAAAAGTTTTTGAGATATCATGAGCGCTTGTAATAGCTGCCATATAACCTCATAAGCTGTTTGTTCATAGTTCATAAGCTATTAAAGCTATAAAGCTGAAATATTGAACAAACAAATTATAGTGATGTGGCCATCATTTTCAAGAGAACTCTTTTAGGTTATATGGAAGTTTATGGTCACTACCATATTATGTATAAAGTAGCCCTGGACTACATGGCCTAACAGGACCAAAAGCAGAAGGTTATATGAAACCGTATGTCAACTACATCCGACACTTAAAATAATTTATTTGTACGGGTGTCACAGAGATGACACAATCAATTGTATCTAGTCTCATTTTAAAATAATTTTGTTTAAAATTGATAGAAAAAATATTGTTAAAATAATTTCGTTTAAATGAAAATTATTTTATTTGTACTCGTATCGCAATAATGATCGCCAATCAAGTTAAGATAAACAAGTGCCTATTGTTTTAATATTGTTTCTAACAATAATTGCACGTAAAAATAACAGGTTTAACCACCGATTGTACAATATTTACCTATTCGAAAAATTTATAATTAAATTTCGAAATAATATTAATATTTTAAATTCAATACACAAGTCAGTAAATAATAATTTTGAATCCCACATGAACATTTTCTCTTGAATAAAACTAGAGTACTATAACATGGTCATAAACCAAATTAACTATAAATTTTGATATCCGGTTGAATCATGCAAATAAATCAACCACACTTATCTAAACTTTATAAATTTTAATTAGATTTTATTGTTGTATATAAAATATTTCAAAAATTAAAATCAAAATTTTTACGATAACGAAAAATAAATAATTAGTCATTAAATAGCTCCTAAAATAAAACTGAAATAAAATATTTTTTAACTTCTGCCGTCAACATAAAATGTTATAAATTTGCATAATCTTTGCTAATCTAATCTTGATTTGGGTAAGGGATTCATTGTTTAAATCAATTTTAATCAGTCACAAACTATTCAGGTTATTACTTGTATAACGATTGAAATGTGGGATCGTATATGAAATTATTAGCTCCCTTATTAACATGCATCACCGCAGTAAATTATTCTTGCAAAATTTAGTAAAAATTCGAAGTCTCTATTAATATTTGGGTACAAATTGTATGCGTATAACATTAGAAAATCCTTTTTGGCACTTTTCAAAAAAAATTTTTGAAAAAAGTGCTTATTAGTTTTACTCTGTCCGTCCGTCTGTCCGTCCGTCCGTCCGTCCGTCTGCCAGTGTGTCTGTCTACAAAACTTCTACACCCTTGAAGATAGAAAGCTGAAATTTTATACGTACATAGATCTTCACGTTTATCTTCAACACCATACGTTGTAGGAGCCTGAAATTTTTACACCTGTTAGACACTAATAAATGCCTCACTTCGTTTGAAAAAACTTTTTCCCATCTCCTTCCCCTCTCAAGTTATTGCCTCTTGAAATTTGTAAAATTTGAATTTTTGACACCTTATATTTCCGAAACCGCAAGCTTTTTCAAATTTCTATAAACACAAAAAGCTAACGGTAAATTCCATGACATTAAAAAATATAATTATTTTTCTTATCTCACACAATTAAACCTTAAAATCAAGCATTACGTTAACCCCACCTTAAATTTATTTTTGGCTTTATTTCAAAGACTGCGTATATGCATCATCCTAAATATATGCAATCCTAGAAATAGTTTTGTAAATGAATGAAAATCATTTTAATAGTGTGATAGGTATACATAGACTGTATTTAAAAGCAGAATTTTCACTTGTTGAAGGGAAAAGTGCTACAATACAAACCATTGGTTTGACTCAACTTTATTTTTTACTTTCTCTGCCGTTCTGTTTTGAATTTAACCAAGTCTCTAATTTTTTTTTTGCATAATATATTCCAATAATTAAAATATTTTCTGTTTAACCTTTCAATGGTGTTATTTTACCTTAAATTGTTACTGTTATTGATTTTAACATTATAATATTATAAAATTCCATGACATTGTCATTTTTAACTCGTGAATTTGGTTTCAAAATTTTCTTGCAAAAAAAAGTCGAGATTATCTTGTATTATTAAAGTTAACATTATTAAAAATAATTAAAACAAATTGAATTTAAACACCATGTTTTGTAATCTAGATTATTATTGTTTATTAAATATAAATTTATATCTGCTTGTATATAATGAACGTGCAGCTACAGTGTAGTCCAATATTAGGACATAAATAATTAAAAATATTTTCAACTTTTTATCATTCTATTTTGAAATCAAAGATAAACGTAGTATGAATCATTTTTGAAATAACGCACAGAACGTTCGTTAAAAAGCTTATCAGCAAAGCTCATCCTAGAAAGTATGACTTGTTCTTTTTCTTGCTCATAATATTATCGTAGATAATGTACTTGTAAATTAATTTTGAACTATCGCAAACAGTAGACCCTGATTCGGTAGTAATACTCAGTTGCATAATACTATTCAAATTATCAAATAGTATACTCAAGTCCAGATCCTCTGATTCATTTTTGACTGTTTGTTTATTCGTGTTTTATATGACTATTGACTGCAGTTAAATTCTATATTTGTAGATTTTTTTTTTTGAAATTCTTATAAATATTATTTTCTCTTAAAAAACATTTATTATTTCTCGATATATCTATATATATATTTATGTATCATGATATTTTTATCTTCTGATATAACTGGAGTGTGTTGATTTGTACAATAAGAAAGAGTAGAAATAAAATTCAATATCATACTTTGTGATTGCCATGTACAAAGGTTGACTCATTAGACGGGTTGCAGTCTCACTGCCTTCATTAATCAAATCGAAAAGAAAGCAGAAATGGTGGATTTTGGTTAAGTTAAAGGTGAAAGCAATCATTCTAGTGTTTAAAAATTGGGTTGGCTTGTAATGTGTTAAGCATACCATGGACTGTATAATTTATTATTCTATGTACTGTGAATTGGTTTCCTAAACTTCTTGTCACGTTCTATTTCAAGGAAGATTGTATCTTGTATACGATGATACAGTGATGTCGAGTCACGTTTTCGGAATAAGATAGTTCAACAAGTTGGGAAATTGATTGGATTAGTAAGATACCGCTTCATAAGTGGTAAGAGCACGTAACAAGTAAAAATTATTGATCAAGAGCTTTTCAGCCTAAAACATTAGTCTCAGTTAATTTAAATTTTTTTGTCAAATTTTTTTGTGTAACTTTACCAGGATTCGATTTCAATATTTCCCAAATTGTATGGATCCCAAATTCGACAACACGTATACTTAATAAAATTCACGTTTATCATCCAACAAAATAAGTTTCAATTATCTACTTTAGTTGCAATTATTTTTTATAAAATTACTCTTCAAACATTTGATTTATTTTTAATATTCACTTCAAAAATAAAAAAAAACAAACAGTGTGAAAAAAAAAACACTTGAATTATAGTTCAATTTTTTTTTTATAACATTTTATTTTTTAATTGCTCCCTGATACAGAAATATTTTCAAAATGTAAATTTATAGAAATCTTTATCTTCCATAAATTTCAACTTGGAAATCGAGACTTTTACCACGTAATGATTTCAAATGAATTGTAGCTTGTCTTGAACCTGGTCCACCCGAACGTAATGATGGAATACCACATTTTGCTCTATCAACAACATTAATCATTGTAATATTGTAAGCTCCGTTATAATGAACATCCATTGTTACAACTTGTAAAAGTTTACTACCTTTTGTATAATGTCTTGAATCTAAAAGGCGATCGTATGCTTGTCTTCCACCCCATGATGCATGATCAGAAGCTACTAAAGCTAAAACGGTAGCTAGAACTGCGAAAGCAAAAAAATGTTTCATTTTTTCAGTTTTAATTATTTAAAATGTTTCTTAAATGATGTCTACTGTACCAAGTCTAGTTTAGAATTGAAGCGTCTCTTTTATATTCGTTAACTTTTATGCAAGATATAAAAAGATTTTGTTTTCGTTTTAATTTTTTAATTAAATTTAAATTTTACTTGAAAAATTCACCTGATAACAATTCATAACAATAAATTCAAAAAAAAAATATTTTTAAATTGAATGTTTTGAATGCCTGCTATCAACGATTTTTCTGATATCTGTATAATATGGGGCTGATAACAAGTTTTTTGTTTTGCGTGATTCGCTTCTTCAAACATAATATTATTGTCAGAGTTTAAACAGGTGATAAATTAGCAAATTGCTTTTATTCTTATTGTTTTGATGATAACTACGATTGTGAATTTTTATTATGATTGCTCACTATTAGCGTTTCTTCATTACAAATATTTTTGGTTGTGTTTTTTTTTCTTGGCAAAAAGGTTGTTTTTCTTTTTCTAAGAAAGATCTGTAAAAAGTTGTATAATACAGAATTCTTTGGAATTTTTTTTTTTTGAAACTATTAATGGGGTTAACAGATAACAAGTTTTAGAGAAATTGGCAGAATGTTATTCATAAACTTATAATTAATTTTTCAGTTTTGCAATCGTGAATTATAGCAATGCCATATGAGCAAAAAGTGAATACATAAAAATTGAATCCAATGGTCAGCTAAGGACAAAAACATTTCTAGTTTTTGGATAAAACTTAAACACAGCAGCTCTCAATAATATGACCGTTAATTTAGTTGGAGTATTTAAAATTATTTAGTATTGTAGATATTTTTGGAGATATCGTCCCAAATAATTATTTCGGACAATATTTTCCTAATATGCAATTAGGAATATTTAATAAGTTACACGACAATTCATTTTGAAATAGTAAAACACAAACTAACTTTTTTCAAAATTAAATTGAAAGCCGAATCACGTTAACATTGGGTTCAGTACTCAACATGGAGCGTTAAAATTCATGAATAAAAAGCAAAATGAGAATAAAAAGCATAGAGTACTCAATAATAGCTTCACAGTACATACATTCAGAATGAGTGGAATGAACGAAATTAATTGGAAAAAAAGGAAGAACTTTCGAATTTCGCTAACTGCAATGTAGCACCTGAACTGGAGTACGATAACTGAAATTGTTCTTGCTTTTCAAATCAAATACATTTATTAAATTAATACATTAAATTTAATATTATTGGAAAAATTGAAAATTTTATAGAAAATTTATAGAATAGGAAATCCAAAATTTTGTCAACAATTATTGCTACTGTCATTGCTAAGTTTTAATTACCCTACCAAAGAAAAGCTGATAATCTTCGGTGTGACGTTTAGTTGTTATAGGATGCCACGATTGCTTTCATGCGTAGAATCTATCGTCATGGGACTGTAACTTACTGTTTAATTTGCAAATTTAACTACGTTCTTAAGCTTGACTTCAACAATTTCCCCGTGTATGTTTGAATATTAATGATTATTATATTTTAATAACTTTCAAGATCATTTACAAGCCTTTTTACATTGACTTTAATTTTTCATTGAAAATATCAATAAAATGTAGTTTCAATTCCATGTTGTATCTAACGAGCTTGTTATGCATTATTCTTTACAATATTCATTCACAAATGTTTTAGAATATTTTCAATAATTAGCAATATTTTACTAATTTATCAATACGAAATTACTAGTAAAAAGTTTGCTATACTTAACGTTATACTTGTATGAATATGCAATTGTTTTCAATATTACTATACTATTATTGTACGTAACACAGAAAAATAAACACTTGTTAACAAACCTACACATTATTTTTATGGTTAATTATTATTGAATTTTAATTAGAGTAGCAATTACTCAATGAAATTTTCAGTATAACAAATTCAAACCAATTTCATATAAAAGCAACCGAAATAAAATTTTTAATTTCAATTAGTTTTTGAAAAATTGTTTGGGTAACACTGTAAAAAAAAATTAAAAGAAAAAACAAAAAAATGAGATCGCTTGGAGTAATTTTATTGGCTTTATTTGGAATTTTGGCATTAGTCCAATCTGGAAGTATTTCCCTCGGTAATCGTAATTGGTATGATCAATTATTATTGAGACAAAATATCTTTATTCATGGAAATCAATGGCAACCACGTCCATCTTTTAATTTAACTTATCCAGCAAGAGTAAGTATTTCTATTTTTCATTTCCTATATGAATATAAAATTTTTATATTTTGCAGGGAAGTCGTAATTCGAGTAAAGTAATTAATTTTATTCAAATACGAGATTTAACTAGATATCAAAATGGTGGCTCCCCAATTTTATTATCTGGTGGAATTGGCTTCAAACATGTTAATATTTTACTAAAATCACAAACCAGCAATGGATTGAATGTAACTGCTGAAATCTGGGGACGTTAAAAAAATTTTTTTTAAACAATTTTTTATATTTTAAAATATTTTAAACAAAATGTTATGGTCAAATAATTGGTATAATAATTAAAAAAATCAAATTTTGGTTTGGTTTCAAAAATGTACTAAAGAACACTAAATTTATTAAAAATAAAGATATTAGATCTTAATGAATTTAATTAATTTAATTTTTTAAAAGTATTAAACGAGATATATGCTCTTAAAAAGAAATCTCAGCCTGAAACGCGTCAAGGCCGGACACACACGAGCATAGTAGGTAGGTCACCGTCTCCCCCTCCTCCTCCTCGTTACAACAGTTCCTACAGTGACGGTTTGCCGGAAAGCCTATTCTCTTGGCATGATCGCCAATCAGACAGTGTTCAGTTAAATCTCCTATAACCGCGCAAATTTCCCTCCTCCGGAGAGATATCAGGTTTCTTGCGCGACGCAAGTCTAGCTTTGTCGTCAACTTCCCATATTACCCGAGAAGTAAATTAATAAATTTTCCAAAAAATATAGGCAAAACTAAGAAGAGCTGAAATTTAAATTAGTTTTCAAAAAATGCAAATTTAGCTTACTAAACTGAGTTTCGAAGAAATAAACCAAAATATTAAAGAGAAATAAACCAAAAAATGAGAAAATTCGAATTTATAAGTGCAATATTAACGCAACTATTATTATTGTAACAAGGATGTGAGTTAGAATTTTATTCAAAAATACAAATCTATCTAAATCCACCAATAAAATAATATTTTTGCTAATAGTAACATAATGATAATAGAGGGAGGGGTGGTCTAATTGTTAAGAATTTTTCTTTTCTTCCACGACGTATACGATCGAAATTTTTTTACTGATAGAATGGCAAGTACGAAATAGTCGAGTCATCTTTATGTAGTATAACAAATTTTCCTTTAGAACTGTTGTATTAAATATAAGTTTCATGTTAAAATAACTTTTTCAGAAATCTAGTTGAATTGAATTTACCAAAACTAATTTTACTTTGGCAGGAAATCAAAAAATATGTGCCCAAATTACGAAACACTCCAAATCGTGACCAGTTATTAATATGTATGCATACTCTATATAGACACTCACTTACCTAAATTTATTTTTAAAAAATATTTTAAATTTTCAATAATTTTTGTGTCTAATTTTTTTATTTTTCTATTATCACACACTCTTTAAATTTTCACATTATCCTCAATGTCCTTTATCAATCAAAATACTTTTTTTTTAAATAAAATCCTCCTGTCTTATTGTTTAGAATTTAATTCCGTAATCCATCAATTTTACTAGAATTCAATATAATGTTGTATGTTATTGAAAATGTATTGGGAAATTATTTTAGGCTTAATAAAATATAAAAAAAAAAAAAAAAAAAGTCTGAAAAATATTTAATATTGTCCTTTTTACTCAACTTACAAAAAAATCTTTTAACATTCCAATATTAAAATTTCACCTTAACACTATAGAGAAGAGCAAAAAACCAAAAAGAATTAGATACTGAAATTCAATAAAATGTTTTTGAGTCAAAGTTTAGTGATAGACTGGTTCGTATAAAGTTTCAAGTGTCGTAATATAAACTCGTTAGCATTGAAAAGGATATTAAATATATTTTGTCTTTTAGGCTTCCATTTTTCTGTGGTATACCTATGTTTACAATTATTTATTTTGTTTTTATTGATTCTATTGAAAATTGATTTAGATTTTAAGGCCACAAATAAGATATATTAAATTTCAAGGTTTAAAGATTAAGATTTTGGATTTAAAACAATTCAAATTATATTTTGTAACTTGTTGTGTACTAAAATAAGGTATAATTTATTTATTTTGCCTAAAAATATATTTAAATTTAAAATTTTGTATATTTTTGTGTAATTCTGTGAATTTGCGTAATAATTAGGTCACCAAATATTGTTAAGGTTGCTGGAGACTCCGCAGCTTGGTTCAAGAAAAGGATATGTTGGACTCCCCAAGTGGTTCAGATTCAAATTTTTATTATCATATTGTATGCCCCGATTTTTTTTGGAATTTAGTATTTAATATATCTATTATATTTTATAATTTAAAGCAGTAAACTATCACAATTTTCCAAAATATCGTGGCTCAGGATCAAACACTTACTAATGGCCAGTTTAGTAATGGCCGTTAGTAAGTTAATAAGCTAGTCAGTTTACTAGACATTGGAAATAATCAACGTATTTTCGGGAATTTCACATGTTGTTCTGCTTGTCAATCGCATTAATTTTTTCAAAGATATTACACTCTCGTAAGCGAACTTCTATTAAGAAAAAAAATATAATTTTGTTCCTGTAAAAATTATTTAAAAGATATTGTTCAATATGGAATATGTAAATATTTTAAAGTTATTTTCCCAATCTTGTGCAATCTTTCCGTCCAACTAATTAAGATAAATTTCTGATAAAGAGATTTCTTAGTCTACTACACGAAATGTACACTGCGGCTGGTTATGCAGTGCAGAGATCATATAAATTTTTTTTTTCTACGTGACACCAAGGTAGTCTCATGTTACTCATGAGCTTTCTATTAAATTGATCAAATAAAATTAACGATGTTTTGACACCTAAATGGTGTTTCATATAGGTTTCATTGCGTTGGCTTTCTATTTTTCTGGTGGTTTTAGATTTCAAGCCGTATTCACTCTGCAACAATTAATGCAATTTGTGTTGAAAAAGCAATTTCAGATTAATTCAGAAACCAATATACTTCAATAATTCACACCTTAAATTTGAAATAAATTTTGTTATACAATATTTAATAAAATTCTCTTTTTTATGCTCAGATTTCATACAATACTCGTATTTATACACTTTACATCGGTTCATATCAAAAGTTCGTTTCACTTAAATCTTCAATATTGAATTTTAATCTCTCAAATATTTTTTTTTTTCAATTATGGATTCACTTTACAATTTAACAGTTTCACCCATTCACAATTTATTTTTTTTTTAATTTCAATTTAAATATTTTTTATTTAAAAATTTTTAATTCAATTTTCTTATTGGTACCAAAAAAAAAATAAATTACCTTTTTTTTTTCGCTAGAATATTTTTGGTTTTCATTTTTAATAATTTCCCCATTACAAAGCTAGCTACTATATCAATTTATTGACAATTTCGGCAGTTATTAAAAAAAAATTAAAAAAAATTTGCATTTTAACAAAGAATTTTGTTCAATCTTTAGTTCGATCAAATCGACCTGGGTTAGTAAAATAGCACATTTTGTTATAATAATAGTCTTAATTTAAGTCTTAAGCTTGTTTTTGTGCATCCATAATATTTTTAGGTCTAAAATAATGAAAGTATAAGTTCCCTCAAAATTGTGCTAGTAATTGTTAATTGATTGAAGGCGTACGGGCATAATATTTTTGGAAGGAGATAAGCGGATGCCTACTGTAGCATTCTTATGTTAATATAAAAGTCCGATGGACATTTTTACGACCGAACATTCTTGAAGATTTTAAAAGTTTTATAAGGAAACAGGGACGCCCAGTGTGAAACTAATGGCAATATCACTTGTAAATTTGTTTTTTTATTTAAAATGTTCTAAAAACGAATATTTTTATAGCACAAATCATAATTATTGCCAATTCATATCATGAATCAATAAAAATATTGTTTTTACGTATATAAAACAGTAACGGATGTAGGTTTTTTGGAATATATAAGTGTGTATGCATGAATCAACATTACAATATACATACATATACAGATGTAAGTTTTACGTAGTTTAACAGATTATTTATTAAATATTTAACAAAGGTAATTCTCATGAGATTTATTGAAATCATCTGAAATTCAAAATGAATTTTTTTTTATACACAGCTACACATATGCAAATATTTATAAAAAAAAAATATAACATTACATACATATAAAATTTAAATTTTCATGAAAATTTATTTGCAAAAAAAAAAATATGGAACATCAAGGATTTTAATTTTTCATTTTTAATAAAATTTCGACAGACATTTATAAGGCAGGGTGAGCCTATAACTGGGGTATTGTTCAAAAGTTTCCATATTAATCCCATAGGAAACTAAAAATGTTCTTTTTTCTTTTTAAGAAATCAAGTGAGTTCACATAACCTTTCTGTTAGGGTTTTCTTTGTAAAAAAATGTCAGCCGAGGAAGAACTAAAAAAATTCAGCCCCTCTTTTCAAAATTTATTAATGTCCCGGAATATTATATCTAAAGTTATTTGAGATACCAGTAATGAACCGGTTAGTACTAACGTATGTGGGAAAGAATCACAAGTATCTAAATGATTTTTTAGAAACACTGATAAAGTTGTTTTAAAATATTTCGGTTACGTTTAATGCTTCTTTTAAAATTCAAATTATTAAATTTAGTACTTAAAAAAGAAAATGATAATTTTTCTTTTTAAGTTTTTTCAACTCATATGAGATCAAACAAATATAAATCTTAAAAGCATGCTAAAAAAAAAATAAATATTATTGCTTTTATATTTACAGTTGAACCTTAATAAAAGAAACTGAAGACAGGACACTGCGATTTTATGAAAACATCCAGCATCAGTGTCGAACTTTAAAACTATTGCCGTTTCTATTATAAATTTTATACCGGGATTTTTATTATAAAATTCTTTTCAATGCACAAGTAGTGTAAAGCACTACTTATTATTGAAAATTAACAACTCTTCAATATACAAATTAATTTAAGAAGTACAAATTCACAAAGGAAAACAAGGAAATTTTGCTTGTATAAGGGTTAAAATTGTTACAAAAGGTTTCACTTATATCCATGTTCAACTGTTTATTATTATTATCAAAATTAAGTTGCTTCTCTCGGGTACACTAAAATTTTAACGTAATTTTTATTACACGTCATGCACTCGTTTTAAATTCACGTACATTATTTATTTGAATTGCTTTGTTTTTTCTCGAAATTCGTCAGTACAAGATAATAAATTGCATACATTTAGTTAGTAAGGATTCATCGAATTTAAGGGCTAATTGCCGGAATTGAGAAAAATAATTATGTTTTTTGATGACCTGCCAAACAATATTAAGTTTCTGCCTTTAGAAATTTGGAAAATTTCAGTTTGGGAAATGTAAGGTGCTAAAATTCCAATTTTAAAAATTTCTAGAGGCGATAACTTGGAAGGTGATTGAGGTGAAAAATTTTCTT